TCTCCGTGATGCCAATAAGGTTGTAGCCCTGCAGGCGTGCGCACGTCTCTAACTCCTCTTGTTTATTCCCCATGCTACGTGTGTTTGCATAGAGGCATTTAAGTTTGGCCCCCGATGAGGCTGTCTTACTGGCTGGAGCTCCTTTGTGCTGCTCTTCAGGTGCTCTCCTGCTGAGCTGTGTTCCTTCTTCAGGCTCTGGGCATCTTTTGCTGGCCCACTAGGCCAGACTAGGAGTATGTTCTTAACTACCCAGACATCTCCCAAAAGCCATCTCAAATCTTGGTGGTTAGACACCTACCAAGGCTTAAGGAGTTTTGAAGATGTAGTTCTGTATCAGGCTACACCAACATAAACCACATTGCTTTGTCCCCTTTGTCCTGCCTTGTGTTCTGCCCCCTCTTTTCCAGCATTCACATAACCCTATGATGAGCCACATCAGACCTGACGAAAAAGGAACCCTACAAGGTAAGTTTTTGGCTGAATCAACTCCTAAACCAGACCACTCCACAGCTGTACCAGGGCTAGTTACAGCACAAACACAGGAACAGACTATGAAGAGCAACAGAGTGGGACAGCATAGGCTTAAATTGTTGTGGGCTCATGCCGTAAAATGTTATTCTGTACCCTAAATCTTAACCATGTACACAAACAGGTACTGAAAACCCACTTGCAGACAACCCAGCAAATACATGCTTCTTTGGTTTTCATGAACAGAGAATGAGTTGTCTCCAGGGGATAAACAAATACATGACTAGCAGAATCCCAGTACTGCTGACAGCTGTCATGGGAAGCAAAGAGAGCTATTGAGGACACCATTTCAACTGCCAGGGCAGAGGAGAACAGAGTCCTTCATAAAACCTACCCTCAAGTACTTTGTTTTCTTTTTTTAAATATCCACATTATCATCAACATTGTGGCTATTTCTCCATGCAAAAACAGTGGAAGGAATACTTGTTGGGATAGCATAGAGAGCTCGATGGCAATTATGACAATTACCATTCCAAGTAAGTTAGCCCCAGATACATATTCTTACAGCAGTGGAAAAGTAAACTTCCTGGCAAAAGCTATTCTTGGGAAGGCCAAATTATAAGATCTGAAAAAAAGAAAAATTATACAGGCTTCCAGAGCTTATGCCCCAAGATAACAGAGAATACTCAAAGCCAAAGTCTCTCGAAGAATCTTATTCAAAATATAATACGTTAAGATACACTCCGATATATTTTGTGGAAAATTTATACAGAATGTTGATGGTCTAAAGCTTCTTTTGACTTTTACAGCATTTGTGGAAATTTGAAAAATCTAGCTCTGACTGCAACTTGGATTACATTGTATGAAATAATAATATGCATTATTATGGCTTGCAATTTAATGCTAGGTAAAAACTTACCACTTTAATTGAAGCAGATTTATCTTCAAAAGGGATATTTCCATGCTGTCAAAAAACCCAAAACAATAAAACCAAAGTAAGACAAACTTTCAGAAGGAAAAAAAAACATTTACATTCATGAGTTAATTTGCTCTCACCCAAAAGTTTATCTTCAGTAGAAAGGATTTTTCTTGTATAAACTTGTCAGTGTACTCATGCAAAATGTTTATGTTACTTCCTTGATAAAACAAGCTACTCGCATAAAGGGTTATTTTGCCTGGAAGAAATCTATCCAACAAAGTCTGAAATGCTTTCTGTTCACTCTGTTACAAAGGTATAAAATATTTTCCTAAATTTAGCCTCCCAAAATGAGAAAAACTTAAGACTTCTTTTTTCTTTCTTTTCTTACACTTCCTTCTCCCTAGCCTTCTTTTTCATCCGCCCATCTTCTTTGCACAAAACAGCCAAAACAGTTTTAATTGAAGAATAAAAGAAAATAATCTCACGCAGAAATAAAGTCTGGAATGCATTATTAAATTTGCTGAGTGAGATTGCAAGAAATCAGAAAGAAAACAGATACTGCATACACAATCCTCCTTTAAAATATTACTAAATACAATATTAGTTTCAATCCTGGTGCAAAAGAACAAGTGTGTTTCTCTTCCACAAACTGAGATCTTGATTTCATAAATACTTGACAAAAGATACCTCTCGACTTAAAAATCAATTACAGCACTCTAGCATATCCTCACTTTTGGGCAGCAACTGTGACCTAACCAAGAGACTAGGAAAAACAGAGTTATTCGATCAATGAAACATCTTGTTTTGACAAGTGAAAGTGACCGCATGCTGCCTGCTAAAAAAGCTGCTAGCTTGCACTTCTAAACGACTAAAGTACTAAATAATTGACAAATCTGATCTACAGTTGAAAGTGAAACATCTTTGCCCTCCTTACGTGTACATACATCCATAAAGGGATACACCTAAGAAGCACGACACAGCAAAAGAAATGAATATTCTGTTCAACAAATGACATGGCTAAATCCTTTCTTACTGCTTCCACCCTGTAAGCTGCAGTTTACGTTCTTCACCTTATAAAATTCAAACAGCTCTTCGGCAGCAATCAAAAGGAAGGTAAGGCCAGAAGCTATTTTTAGTTTCAGCCTCAAGTTAGACCTGGAAATCTGTCATTGCCCCAAGGATTTTTATCAACAGATTAGATCAGCAATTTCACTGACATTTAAAATCACAAATTATAAGCCATGAATTACTACTATTTAAAAACACACAAAGGAGCAATCATTTTCTCATCAAGAAGCCAAATATGAAGCATAAGTTGCTATGGGACAAGTCAGCTTCTTTATTCCCAGACTGACGCGAGCTTTCTCTCGAGTTTCCTAGTTCACTTCTCAGATTCCCAATCATCTCATTAGCACACAAACAATTATCTTGGTCTAATCTTGTTCTTCTCCAAAAGACCTTTCCGTGGTTCTTCTTCCTGATGGCTAGGCCAGCAAACAGTATCATTTCTTGCGTTTTTGAAGTTCAGAGAAGAGGTATGAGGTAAATTAGGAAGAAAGAAACAAAACCATCATCAAAATAAACTAGCTCACCTTATTTCCTTCTTCTTTGACTTGAGGATTTATGAGTCTTATAAATGAATAGAACAGCTGTCGAATTCTAGAATCTCCTATAAACACAACATGTTTGTCTATGAGGCAATTTTTTGCTTCACTGTAAAACAAAATAGCAACATTCACGTTACAGGAAATTTGTATTTTAGGAAAAAGTCTTTAGAAAATCTACAGAGCAATATAGATAATTCTAAGCATTATATCCAGCTCTAACAAATGGTAAATCTTTTTTTAAACATGCGGAATTAATAAAAAGTTTAGTGTAATTTGCATAGAAATGAAAATGAATGCTCCTGCTAATGTGATTAGGCAAACAACCAAGCAGGCTTTCCTATTCTGTGGTGCTACAGACACAGTAGTTTCAAAATGGTAATATACAGTGTAATTCTAAAAAATAAAGTTCTCTTACTAGTAGGTGAAAAAAAGTGATTGGTAATTTTATTTGGGATTTTTTTACTTGTGATTCTACACATAAGGTCAGCATTTTCCCTTTCAGCAATCTGAGAGTGACATACAAAGCTATGCAGTCTCTTGCAGTATCTTGTGGCTCTCCGTAACACGTATCAGTACTACTATCACCAATATTTATTTGTATTTTATATATAAATACAACTATGGTAAACACTGTAGACACACAGATAATGTACAAGGAAAAGACTTCCTTCTGATAAATGTTGCATATTTTGGAAAGCCTAGAGAATCAGCTACAAAGTGAAAAATAGATGACACTGCAATTACTACAGATGCAGTCAAACAACAACTCTTCCTTCCAGGCAGATGAACAGAAGACACGAGTTTCCTTACCTATTTTTATACTTATGCATCATACAACTGTGCGGTTGCCATACTTTTTCTCCAAGAAATCTCCCACTGGACAGAAGATACTCACATGTATCGCCACCTTTAAAATGTTATATTAAGATCAGAATTCAGACACATGAAAGTTAAAACATAGCCCCATTGCTATTAAAAAAAAATAAATTTGGCAACATTTGAAACACAGGAATTGAAACAATCAACAGCGGTAAACAAATTTAACTTACTGTAAAAACACCTTGCACAAGTTTCTGCAAATTGCCTTACTTATTATACCACACTTCTGTAAATCACTCCTCTATCCACAAAATTTTAGTGATCCCATTTCTGCTGTCAGAAAGATGTTGTGACCTAGAATGGCATTTCCACTAGAAGATGCCAATCCACTGTGATATCTACTATCCAGAATACACTAATATGAAATTAAGGAATACAACAGTTCAATATAATAATCTTCTACACAGAATCATCATACACAGCATCTCGTACAGAACATGAATCTCAATATGAGATTTGCAAGAAAGTCTATCACATCTCCTTGCTTAAGACATAGCAGTCACCTTAGAACAGGTGAAATTACATGCTGGGTTAATATGCAAAACAAAAAACATTTACACGTGAATTTGCTGATCATTCTGAACTGCAGCTACCTTTTCCAGCCAAGAAGTTTTATGCTAATTAAGATTAATCACTTTACAGGTGGTGATGTTTCAGGTCACTTTAAGTTCATATAAACAAAACACCTCAGTTATGAAATCAGTGAGGTTTATCTTCCAGCAAACTCCATGTCAGATTCTGCTGCCTTACAACTGAACACTACTGAACACCATTCACTGCAAGAGAAGTTGCCCTCCAACAATTTCGTCATGCTTGGCAATTCAGAGCGCTGACAGAGATATGGCAGTGAATGAAATGGCAAGTACCTGTGCCAGCTTGTGCAGAAACAATGTATGACAGCCCATACTTAAAATTTTATGTGAAATCTTAACTTCATTAAACTCAGCAGAGAACTGCTCTTTTACTCCACCGAAACTTGCACTAATTCTAAAGAATAGGGCGTTTTCTATCTACTACTTCTTCTTTTCAGGGCTGCTGGGAGCCACACATTAAAATGAGACAGACTTTCTGCTTCAATTATTACGAGAAAATCTGAAGCTTTACCTAGAACTGCAATTCAGACGAGGTGAACAGGAAGAGATGCAAGTAGTGTGAGGTCTGTAGGAATGGGAACTTACAAGGCACATTTGATGTCTACTGAGATCCAAGCTCACAGTCCTCAAAGATGAGTACTATAATAAAGCTTTTAGGAAAAAGAGACAGAGCTGTGGTATTGCTTCCCTACTGCTTAAACAAAGACCTCCACATGACCACAGTCCAACCACTAAAAAAAATGGGGGGGGAAAAAGGTATACTGGATAAAGAAAGGCTTTCTGTGTAACATTCTCATAAGAAAACATATCCTAAGTTACGGTCCTAAGATCACAGTGAAAGCTAATTAATTCTCATATGTACTGAATCAACTTTGTTGTTGGGATTTTTTTTAGTTGGACATAGGATAATTGGGAAAACTACTTATTTCAATAATTTCCCAATAGTGGGAAGAATGACAATAGTATCTATATTGAAATATTTTTTCTATAAACATTTTAAACCTATGGGTAATAAACTTCAGAAAACATTAATCATTACATGGGTGATGGAAACGTATCTGTATTTCCAACAAATACGGAACTAGGATCTTTATAATCCTGCATGACCACAGATTTTTTCCAGATAACTCTTGCATTAACACTGGCAATGATGTTGCTACTCTAGTTTATGAGCTGATACTCACTGCTCCTTCACAATCCACCCAGAAAAACAAAAAAGTAAGGTTCCCATCTATGGAGCTGGGAAAATGTTACAAAAAGGATAAAACAAAATGCTGTATAAAAGTATATAAAAAGTATAGCTGACACCCAAAACTCTTAATTTTCTCGTCCTTCAAACCTCTAGCTCTCTCCTACTTAGGATGCATGAAGAACATCTCAGGTACAGAAGTACAGACAACACAGCTCATGTATGCTGCTTCCTGAAGAAGAATATAAAATTAGCTTGGAGGAAGGAAGAAGTGGCAGCTGAAGACATCTTCTAACCCTACCTTCCTCCCTGAAATTCCTCCTATCTGTTTTCATGAAAATCAGAAAAGGGAATGTAGAACAGACCGTATTATAACTGTTACCCCTTGGCTCATTTATCCAAGCAAACCCAGCACTGGTAACACAATCAAGTAGTATTATTTACCATGATCTAAGGCTCCTCATTCCCTCATTTCAAAATGCAACTCTTAACAACCAGACTTGTTTTCTCTCCTGGAACTTCAATTACTTACCATTGCTATTGCATCGTGACTACTAAAAAAAGCTGGAATAACATGAAGAATTACCACAGTCTTGAAAAAGGTCTGAATAAACATCTCGGAGTCATAACTCTGGGTTTGGATTGGTTGTCTGTGTGCAACCCACACATGACATACTCCTAACATGCACGATAAACTGGCTTTATTAAAACTGTCATTCTTTACTCCCTACCTCTCAGTTTTGGGAGCTCTTGGTCAGGCAGATTTTGATGCATCGAAGAAAAATGTGTTTAAAATCTAAATAATATATATACATATGGTGATAAACTCCTATTCTTATCATCAATTAAGAGTCTATTAATCACCCCAGGGTAGTTCAGGAATTCCCTTAAACTGACCAGTAAGCTCTCAAGCAGATCCTTGAGATACCACAAATCAAATCAACACTTCCTTCCTAATCGCAATGCACACGCACTTGTCAAACTGATTAATTACTGCACAGCAGCAATGCGATGTGGCAAATGGCTGGATGCAGAGGGCCACGTGCCCCTGAACATTTAAAGGAGCTCTCATGAAAGCATGCTGAGACCATAGATGTAGGCTGAACTCAAGAGGTTTCCAGAAAGGTAGACTCTGTAACTCTCCTATTTTTCAACCAGTACAGGTCACCCCAGGTCATCAACATCATCTTTTTTTTTTCCAGTCTGTGCCTGTTTCGTTATTCAGTACAGTGCCATTCCTGAACAGATTAAAGAAAAGATCTTCCAGAAGCAATTTATCAATACCTTTCTGCTCCTCTTTCAACTGCTGCTACTTACAAGACAGCTGCTGATCCTGCTGCCAAAATATCTGCAGAATTAGCTCAGAACACAGCAGATGACATGCAAAGCTGAATCTTTACCTACTTTTTAAATAGGTTGGCATAGCTCAGATTTGCTGGACAGACATCTTTCTAGCAGAAATCAGAAATTCAAAATGACCACAGTTTCAGATTTTCTTAATTGTTTCAAATAAAATCCTGTTTCTATACTTTGGCTTTCAAGCAACGTAATTTCCTTGATTCTCAAGCATATACACTTATGTAAACTATCATTTCTAGTAAGTTGCATAAAAATGCAACTGTCAGAAATAATAAACAACATCAAACTCATGTTGCTTGTGATTAGATTATGAGAATAGGTGACTTACAGTTACTAGAGCTACTGCTACAAAGCCCTCCACTTTGCAGATGATGAAAATTAGGAGATATATCAGAGTGATAGAAGAGTGAACTATGTAAAAGAAAATCCACCACTAATTACACTCCCTCTGAAATCCATTAACTTGCTGAGGAAGATGCATAAGAAAATAAGGACAGTTATTCATGGTCAGACCAATGGTCAGTCTAGCCCGGTATTCTGCCTTCCACAGGGGCCATAGGCAGATGCTCAGGGTTGAATAAGATGAGCGCAAGTAAACATTACGTTCTTGTCTAATATTCTTCCAACTATGTTCAGTCCAGGGACTTCCTGAGCAGGACATGGTTTCTACATATTTTGTAGAACCTTCCACAGATTTCTTTCCAACAGCTTTCCATTTTTTTTGCATCCACAGCATCCTTCTACAAGTTTTCCACACCCACAGCTGCTGCTTGAAGAATCACCTGCCTTTATTTTAAATATGGTTTCTACTAGATTTACTTGGCACTCCCTAGTTCTTCCATAGGAAGAGAGAGTTCGCACTCATGTCTATCATGATTTGTAGACCACCATCAATCCTTTCTCAATCAAGTTTTCAAGACTGAAGAATCTCAGTTTACCAACTCTTCATAGGAGAGCATGTTCCATATCTTGAGTTCGTGACCCAAGCTTGGTAGCTCTGCACTCCATGGCACTCCTATCATAATGACCCACAAAAACAAAAATCCTCCATCCTACAGTACATTTACTGAAATAACATTCCAAACATCACACATTGTATACATTTTAAACATAGAGATAATATTCTAGGCCAAGGAGTTATGCCTTCTTTCCCAATTCCAGATACTGAATATCTTACTATTTCCCTGAGCAATATTAGAAAGCTCCTGATTCTTATTAGGAGCATTACTGATGTCTGATGTCCTTCTTTAAACATAACAGTAGAGCTTTTAGGAGAAAGGTAAGGGAAGAGAATAAAACAAGACTGAAAGTGCAGCCAAGAGAGTAAACTGGAGGTTACAGACAAGACAGCGCCTCTGGAAATGCCCAAGTTTTACTTAGGAGATGAAATACACAGCAGCCAAAGAACCACTCTCATTTTAATATACTACACCTTCTTCTTAACTATTAATGAGATCTTAAAAGAAAAAAAACCAAGCCCAAACAAAAAACCCAAAACCTGACGAAAAGAAATCTAAGTGCCATTCTATACACAAAACATAGACCATTCCTTTTAAGCTCTTCCTTTGTGCTTTGTGTAAATTATCCTTCCAACATATTACCTTTTATTTTCATCAAATGTTGCACTTAGGTACACTACGGCATAGTTATACAAAGAGTATAATTTCTCTGAATTTTATTATGCTAATTTATCTAATTTACCATTCCTCAAAAACATGTTTTTTCCATTGAAATTGTGAAATCTCAAAGTCTTCGTTCAGTACCAGAACAGACTGTTTCACAATACTTTCTCTAAAAGGCACACTCTCTGTTTCAAACAAATGGAAGTTCAATTGTTATCTATTATTCAAAATAAAAATGTAGTTTTGAACAGGATCTCTCAGTGCTG